CCTGAAATTGGTCTTCAATTTTAATTTGAAGCTGATTTAGGTCATTAGCCCTCTGATGCTCATGTCCATAAATAATAGACTCAATATAGCCCCACAAAAAAGTCATTCGGGGCCAAATCAGGTGACCTCGCCGGCCACCGAATTGTGCCCCGTGTTAAAAAAATTTTGTTAGGGAATATTTGTTGTAAATATTCTACAACTCGTACACTATTATGGGATGGACATCCATCCTGCTGAAACCATACATTGTCTAGGTTTGGATTAATGACACGCAATGCAGAAATAATTTCTGTAATAAGTGCAAGTAAGATTTACCATTTAAATTGCCATTAATAATAAATGGTCCTACAATGTTATCGCCAAAAATACCAGCCCAGTTTTTCTGGGTACTGAGTACGCAAGTTTAACTGCCGGTACTCATTTTCAATGGCCCAGTAACGCAGAATGGACGGATTGTGTTTTCCATGAAGTGGAAATGTGGATTCATCCGTAAAAACAATATTTTTTGTAAAGTTCGGATCCTCGTTTGCCATTTCCATCACGGTTTTACAGAATTTCATTCTGCGGTACTTGCCATCATCATAAACTTCCTGATGAACCTGGTATTTGTAGGATTTAAATTTATTTTTTTTAATATTTTATTAACTTTGCCCACACTAACTCCGGTGTTTTCAAAAAATTTGGCAACCGAAACGGTGGAATCTTGTTGTACCATTGCACAAACCATTATTTTCTGCAATTCAGCGTTGTCATTAATCCTGGGAACATTATGGCATTTACATTGAAAAAGGCAGCCTTTTGATTTTAAATTGTCATAAGTAGAGGAAAATTTCACAGAGAAAAGATCTCTCGTTTCCCTAAAAGAATTTCTCCGAATTACCCAATAAATCATATCAAACTTTTCCTCTACAGTATAGTTATTCATTATAAAAATCTATTTTATTTTTAATTGTTTACCAGATTTACACCGCACAAAATACAAAACAATAATAAAGCATCGATGTATAAAGCAAGGTCAACTGTTACGGCGCATGCTATCCTACTCGTCCAAATCCTTTCTATAACGTTTTTCGCTTCGTGCTGACTAAGACTTATCTGGTCCAGTTACAATGTATTTTCCCTATGGTTAGCTTGCAAATGAAGGTACGGTATATGATTTATGCACCAACATAAGGTTATTTAATTTTACAACCAAAAATCTATAATTTTGACTTCAAATCGAATTCGAATTTAATACATAAGTTTTTGACTGAATGTTTATAATTTGACTAATTAAACTGGGAAATATTATACTCCTTTTTAAATAATGTAGCTACAATTGTGTATTGTATATTGAATTGTATAATGTAGCTACAATTAAAATTTCAGCGTGTATATTAAATTAGACTAAATGACCAGTCTAATTTCAAAAACTTTATTCAGAAAGTCATTTGGCACCCATTTTTATTTTATTTTGATACAGACACGTATGTCAGGAGTTATCTTTTTATCAAAGAACCCATTTAAACCCTGCTCTCCACTGCCCTAACCAAAAGCTGCTGTATGCAATTTGTGGGATAAAATAACCCTTTTAAAAACAATTATCCTGGTGTACAAAGGTATAAGGCTTTCCTTAAAAGACTTAAAGACAAACCTGTAAGGACCTCAGAGGGAGTTACATCCTTAAGCTCAAAGCAAAATATTAGAAAATGGTTTACAGATATCCATGAATATTTAGTCAAAAAAGACCCATCCCGAATTTTTAATGGGGATGAGACGGAAATTTAATTAAGTCCCCAAATTTTTCGGCCCCAAAAGGATGGCGAAATGTTTATGAAATCATGTTTACAATTGGAGCCTCTCGTGAAGTAACGCCTCCCATGATTATTTATCCATACAAAAGATTGCCAGCGGCAGTTGCTGATTTTGTACCAAAATAATGAGGCATTGATCTAAGTGACATATGCTGAATTAAATTAGAGGTCTTTTATAAATATATCGGTAACGTCTTTTACCCAGCTTTAAAAAAATTAATATAAAATTCCCAGTAATCCTGTTTGTCGATGGGCATAAAACCCATTTAGACCGTAAGCTTAGTGAGTTATGCCGCACCCTCCAAATTGTATTAATAGCCTTGTACCCAAATGCCACTATAATTTTACAACCGGCAGATGTATCGGCTTTTCGTCCCATAAAATCTACCTGGAAGGCTGGGGTTTTGATTTGGAGACGCAAAGACACTGTAGAAGAGTTAAGAAGTATTCGCCACTATCTTGTAAAAAAGATAAAAAGTAACATATTAATCAACAGTTTAAAATCATGTGGATTATATCCTTGGAATCCTGATTCAATCGTTTATTCAAAGTGACTGGGGAAGACTGCTATTCCTGAAAACAGACCTAAAAGAAAAACAGACGATATGAGACCCGATTCAAAACAGTTAATTATTCTACTTATAAAAGTATTGTGGGACAAAAATATTTGCAGAAATTTAAAAAAAAATTGAAGATATTGCAGAAAGCAACCGAAGATTTTTTGAAGCTGAATTAAATATAAAAACCTTGAAGATCAGGGAATGGAATATGAAAATGAAGAAAATATACCGAAGGACCAAATTAATGAAGGCTTTACTGAGCTTAAGTATGTTTCCTTGAAAATTAATCCATGAAAAAATCTGCACGTCAGTAAACTTTAATACCCACTAAGCAGACTCGTCGAGATAGCCCTTTATCTACATTTATCAAGATAGTGCGACACTTTTACGAAAATGATGACAACACTGAAAAAATTCAGTATTAATTTTTAAGTTGTAGGTAAATTTGAGGTCAACCTTTTATTATTTTAAACACTGTCTATAAAAGTTAAGAACCGTAATTAATTTAATGAAACATTCAAGTGTTTCTTAACATCTAACTGGTAGAGCATTTGGGTAGATGAATTTAATATAACGGTGCGTGTTTTTATTATTAAGATAATTTTCTTTAGGGTAAATATATAAACATTTATTTTAAATTAGTAGTACTTGTTTCTTTATTGTTATGAATTCAGGGATTTTATTAAATGATCAAGCTATTATTGTTATAGGTTTATAGGGATAAAACTATAATGCACAATGAATTTAATTTAACATTAGTTTTCGTTATGTTTACATTCCTTAAACGCATCAAAAAGAAATCATAATCTATAACAACAACCCAGATAGCAAACGTGAATACGAAATCACGCGTGAGTGAATAATGTGTGCTATATGATTTCACACGTGAAGTCTTGAACTCGTAATTCACACGTGAGTAGATGATGAATTCATATTATAGTCTCGTGTGATTTAATCGATTTTATTTTAAAATACATGGATTGCATGATTAAAAACTGCACGTTTAAATATAAATAGAATATTAATATTCTAATATCAAAATATTACCTGACGCGCGAATTTTGGAATTATTATTTTAGTTACATTTTTAAAATTCGCACAGCTCCATTGCGCAATCGCGATCTTATTGATCGCGGCAAAACCACATGGCCTGTCAGCACAAAGATCAGGGGTGCTTATTAATTAAACAACTGTTTAATTATAATAATAATATACAAGAGCATAGAAAAAGAATATACAAGAGTGTGTGGAGCTTATGTTCTGTGGTGAATATTTTATCGTATTTTTTATTTTCGGCTTGAAATTGGAAAATTATGGTTTTCGTTTTGACACGCATGTTTTCAAGGCTTTAGAATGATTTTAAAATAAATGTGTGGGATATCCCATATATGTATATTTCAATAATTAAAAAATGAGGTTGTATTTTTTTTCCAATGAATTGAATTTCTAACCTCATTTTATTCGGTTTTCAAGATTTTTCTTTGGTTTGTCATATATTTTTATGTAAAACTGTTATAATTTAAGGAAAACAAGTATCATTTAAACCAAAATGATACATAAACATAGCTTTTATGTGTAACTTGTATCATTCTTCCACTCACCGATTCAATTACAACAAAGATTTTTCAGCTCTGTATGACAAATTCAGGACGAAGTCAATTTTGCTCAAGTTAACAGTTTATTTGTTTTGCGTGAAGGCTTTTTGAATATTTTTAATAATTTATTTAGCAATAATTTTATTTACCATTAAAATTTTTTAATATTAACAAAGCCCTGGCCAATATAAAAAAAGTTAAAAGTTAACTTTTGTGTGCTTAAAATTCGTCTTTCCATATGATATTAAATATGGAGCAAAAATGCAAAAGCCGATAAATCCATTTTAACTTATTCTGAGATATTGGCCAAAAATGTGTACAGTCGAGTCCCCTAAATATTTAAAAACTATTAATCGGTACTATACTCTTAAAAATTTTAATGTAAAAATGGATTTATCGGTTTTTGCATGTTTGCTCAACAAATAAAAATTTTATTTTTAGCCTCTAGATACCTGTATATACTATTACTTAAGTAAAAAAAACAACACAAAGGTAAAAAAGACAGCAGTAATTACTAGTCTGTCTTTTTTTACCTTTGTTTTCTGGTTTTTTTTAAATTTAGAGATGGCAACGCTAGTCTAGGTATTATGTTCCATTTTGTCTTTTGTAATTGCAAAATGCTACTTGGTACTACGTTATTTAATAGAGAATAATAAAATGATTTTTTGATATTTTTTAGACATTTCAAATTTTATAATAATTTTTTTGTTTAATAAACAATATTTTTATGATACAAGGGGATTCCTGAATTGATACTTTTAATTGTGTTTAGATATCATTAATATAAACCACATTTTAAATAACTTTTTCAAAAAACCAGAAAATTTGTGATACACAAAATAAAAAAAATAAATCTGTGCCTCTGCATCAAAAGAAATGTTAATTATTATTGATAATAATATGGGTTGTATTCCACTATTAAAAAAATATTAGAAAACAGAGCAAGCACAGACATACTTGTAGGATCTATTTCTAGTTGAGAGGCTATTTCCTCTTCACACTTTTTTATTTACCAACCAATATTGTTATTTTTATTTTCTTATTTTTAATAGTTTTAATTGGAATGTCAACGAAATACAAAGATTTTTCTGATCTTGGTCTGAGGCAGAGGCGAAGAAGATTGATGTCAATAAAAAATGAAGAAGCTATAGCAAGTCAACAATGCGATGATGTTTATTCCAGGACAACTAAATGCGATGAAGATGTAGGTACACAGTCCTAGGTCAATTTTCTCTAAAGGAATGCAGACAGAGATTGATGCACCTACAGAGTCTGATGAAGAGTTAGAATTAGTGGTTGAAGCAAACGAAATTAATGATTTAGAAAATGATGTAGGTGTTGAGGATAACAGAAATAATTTCAATCATGAACATGCCAATATTTCAAAAGAAGCTCAGATTGCCTTAATTAATTTTTGTTATTACATATATGTATACATTTATTTGTGTTATTATAATTACATCAATATAAATAGATCAATAATATCTATAATAAGTGTTATTATTATTACATGCACATACATATGCGCAATTATAATTTATTATAATAACATAAAATATTAAATGAAAATATATTTTATTATAATTTTAAGTGTAATTTCTATTAATTAATAGATATTATTTAATATAATTTAATATAATATATTATATTATATTAATATATTTTCATTTAATTATAATAAATTATAATTATCTCTGGTAACACCCTCCCTTTCCCCATTTCATAAGACATTTTCAGTCACAATCTTTATTTTAAATGTTTTAAAATACACAAATTAATTATTATATGTATTAATTATATAATATATATTAAGTTATAAGTAGTTATATTATATAATTATATATATTATAGTAATATATATAATTACATAATATATATTGGTTTAAAAGGTCACAATTATATGTTATAGGTACATTAATAATTAATATATGTATATTATATATTAATTAATTAATTAGTTAACCTTAAGGTTATAATTGTAATGTATAACCTATAATTGAGGAGCAATCAACCAAAACCAGATAAATCCATTTTGACTTCTTGAATGATTCATATTTCTTTTAGTCGGATAAATCAATTGGAAAAGTGAATTTCAAGATAAACTTATTATAATAATATATATATTATATACTAATATTAATATTAGTATATAATATAATAATTATTATATAATATTAATATTATGATCATATCATATTATGATAACAAGTTTAGCTTGAAATAGATATTTCCAATGGATTTATCTGAACAAAAGAAATAGGAACCATTCAAAAAGTCGAAATGGATTTATCTGGTTTAGTCTGATTGCTTCTCAATTATGGCCTTTTAAACCAAGTTTTTGTGTATTTTTTTAAGATGTTAAAATAAATATTTCGACAGATTAAATTATTTTGAAAAATGAAATCCCTATTCTAAAAGCGCATGCGCAAAAAATAAAAACTTCACGCGTGATGGCAAATTGAGCATCAATTGAGGACTCATCTGTCGCGTTATATGAATTCACGCGTGAATTTAATTTTCACGCGTGAATTCGTAGTGAATTCATAGTGAATTCATTTTGCTATCTGGGAAGTTTATAAAGCGGTATTGCGTCATTGGTACGAGAGCCTCCATGCAGATACTTTGTACGTTTTGTCAGTTTCAAAGAATAGTTTTTTGTGTTTATGGTAGAGAAAAAATGTCATGTAAGAAGCTACTGGAGGGTGTAGGTCTTGCGTACCTTATTCCCAAATTCGAAGGTAAGTTTTAGACCTCATGTAAATTAATTTCAATTATTTGGTAGGTACTGTAGCATGCACTTTTTACCTGCTACGTTTGATAGTCAAGAATAACGTATAAATCTAAATTTTTATTCAATTTCACAAATTTAAATATATACTATATTTTTACTAGGAACGACACTTTTTGGAACAACACTGTTTTCATGTATTATCTGCAATTAAAAGGTTTTAATTAGCTATTCGTGTGATTTTGCACTGCATTTACCTTGTTTGATACTTAATCAACTGATCACTGGTTGAGTATTAGACATTTGCTGTCAAGTGGTGCCACGATGGTTTTTGAGAACTGATTACATTTTTATGCAGATCGGGTGACTTGGGTGTCTGACTTTTGTTTTGCAGTTATCCGCTGAGGAGCCTGGAGGTCGACAAGCTCAAGCAAACCGGTTGTTTTTCATAAAGTTCTTTTTTCCCTTACATTTTATCCTTAACCTTCATTATAACCTCTAAAAACAAAGATCTTCTATTAACATTTTTATTTTCATTTACCTTGGTCTTTGGCTGTAGCCGAGTGTGTATTTCATTGAATATGTAATTTGCGTTTCTTTTACCTTGCTACAGTCCTCATTTTCTGAATTTTCTCAAACAAAATAGCGGTGGTTTGTTGTTTACTTCAATTGTCGTATATGACAGTTGACATGTAATGTTGGTTGCGTCTGGTGGAAGGCGCGCATGCGTGACTTTTAAACCGGCGATTTTCTTGGGGTGCTGCTTTCTTTCTGTTTAAGACTCTGTGAAAGCTACATGCCGATGTGAGAGAAGTTAAGTTCCAGGAATATTGAAGTCCTTACCGTGGGTTATTTCACTTTTATCGTGATAAGTTGCAGTAAAAGCATTGTTCGTTTTCAATGACTGCGTGAGACGCTGTAATTCTGGAAATTTCACGAAAAACGCTGCGGCGTGCCTTTTCTTAACCTCAACTTGGTAAGTTTTTCTACCTTTATTTCGAGCATCGGTTTTAAGTCCGATTATTTTATTCTTCCAATTAGTTTCTACTCGGCATGTATACATATTAGTGACCATATTTTCCCGGATTTGACGATAATTTCCCGGATTTGACGATAATTTCCGGATGATGACAAATTTTACCTATTTTGACGAATTATTACCGATTGTGACCGCGTACGCTGCTCAGTGTATGCTTGGATTTCAAATTATCTCCATGCCAGATTATTAAATCTGTAAGTTGTGAACTGTGTTCAGTCAGGGAGTGGTTTTTACAACCTTATTTACTTTTAGGGCATGTACCTTGTAGTAAGATTTTACCAAATATATCTTTCACCCTATTTTGCCTCACCTTTACCATCAATTCAACCTGATGCCAGATCAGCTGTTCCTCGACACGACAACCTACCGGCCAACACGTTAAACCGATGCTGGAGCTTGTCACCACCAAGGTTCACCACCCGGAGCAGCAACACTTGGAGTCAGGATTACGTTTGTAGAATTTTAGAAATACTTAACATTTAAGGTAACCTTTTTGTCTCGGTCATAGAACCGCTTAATTATTATTGTCTCGGTCATAGAACCGCTTAAGTATTTTTGTCTCGGTCATAGAACCGCTTAATTATTTTTGTTTCGGTCATAGAACCGCTTTACCCTTTTTGTTTCGGTCATAGAACCGCTTCACTATTTTTGTTTCGGTCATAGAACCGCTTAATTATTATATGTAAACCATCGATACGTATCGTAAGATAGTATGCACAACACCTAGTGTTTATTTATTTTGATTTAATTTTCACATGTTCAATCGAAACAATAGTTTGATTTAATTTTTACATGTTCAACCGAAACAACAGTCCAATTAAACCCAATTAAATTTTAAAAACCTTTTTGTTGAAAACCTTTCAATTTTCAGAATAACTTAAGTTAGGTTAAGTGATCGACCTAATTTTCATGTTTTTAAATGATCACTTGGCGCCCACAAGGTAAGTTGTTGTGTGCTATAAAAATCACTAGAACACATTTTGACACAAACATTAATTTTTTGAAAAGAATCCACTTTTGAACCCTGCTCTCCGCAACGTAAACAGTAAAGCTGCCGTCAGCAAAATAAGTAGAAAAAAAAATACGCCACAGTACCTATACTCATATTTTATAGATACCAAATAATATAAAAGTTAAATATTAAGTAGTTTACTGTGGGAAAGGTACATTTGTGATAGGTGACTCTTTGTTATAATTTAGAAGCCATTACGCTTGAAGTGCTGCTAGTCCCCGACCCGCCAAGTCTTTGCCAACTTATTCCTAAATTAGAAGAGAGATCTCTGATGACAGCAAATCGATTTGTTTTAAAGATGTGGTCGGCATCAGCCGTATGCGCCAGTATTAAATTACGGCCGATCACGGTGCTCTGAATACAGCCTAAGAGTATTTATTTAGTCCATTTTGTATTTTTATATTCTATTAAATAGGATATGTACAATACAATTGTTTAAATATATTATATGCACATTTTATTTCTCATTAATCAAACAAAAAGTATAAAATTCAGGCTACATTAGTCAAAATATTAATTATTTGAGCATCATATTTGATAATAAATTTACATTTTTTGACATATTTTACACATAAATAATTCGTCTTTAAAAATGTTGGGTTTTTTAATCAGAAATTGTAAATCATTTAAAAATATGGATTGTCTTAAAACATTATATTTTACTTTGGTTCTATCCAAACTGGAATATGGAGCACTTATATGGAATCCAAACTATAACATACATATAAATCTGATTAAAAGGACCCAACGAAGATTTTTAAAGTTTTTATGTCATAATGTAAATGGAGTTTATCCAGAAAGGGGTTTTGACCTTCGTTAAAGCAACGCTTAAATTTAAACTTTTAGTTCCAAGAGCTAGTGCTAGAAGTAGTTTGTATTTTTATTCATTTGCAAGAACCAATGTTGGTGTATCATCGCCTGTTTCAGCTATGTGTTATATTTTTAATAAAATCTCAAATTATTGTGATCTGAATAATGATTCTTTAAAATTTATAACTAATGTTTATGTTGAGCATAGTATTGAGTAAAGCTGTAATTTTTCATCGAATGGTCATACTTGAGTAATTTTGTATATATTAGGTTTTCATGACATTGTTTTTATTATTATTTTTAGTTTATGTTTAATTAGGTAATTATGTATTTTATATTTGTCCTGTAATTGGAGTTTTTCTGTTGGGCAATAAACATTATTATTATTATTATTATTATTATTATTAAAATAATTCTATAGTGGTCAAATCAGAGGATTTTTAGATTTTGTTATTTATGTGGTCTGTACTTTTGTATTAATAAACATTTTTTTTACATACAATTATCCAAGTGCTAAAATAACTACAATTTTGAACAACAAAAAAAATAATACCCAAGTAAATTTCTGCAGACCTCAAAAATAACAAAATCTCGCAATCCGCTGATTTGGTACCTACTTAGTTTTGCATTTTCACTTTAGAATTATGCCTTAAAATTAAGGTCATCGTTAATACTGAAGTACATATTACCTAAAAATGCTGTTTGCTGTCAGGCTCCAAGCATTAAATAATAAGCTGTTGTTTTAACAACAAGCGTATTCTAGATGTTAAGACAAGCCAATGTTTTCTTAAAGTAATGATGCAGTTAAAAATAACTCAACTAACTTTCAGTATTTCAAATCCACCATGCCTTTACATCAAATGCATATTTCTTAGGCCATATCTGAACCCGTAATTACTTTACCATAAATGCATAGCATTAATATTTAATGCTAAATTTTCTTAGTGAAGAAAGCACCCTTCCACCCATAAGAGAATTGAGAGATGAAGACACCGACGGAAGCTTGGACGAAGGTGATGACATGGAAACCGAAAACGACTGCGAATTAGATGTTGACGCTGATACCCCAGAAGGTAGCATTAACCCATTCAGGACGGGCCCATTTTACGCGCGCTTCTGTGTGACCTTTGACCTTGGTGTTGGTGGCTGCCTGCGCGCTTAAATTTGGTCAGTATCTTATCGGTTTTGTTAGCGAATGTGAATTTGGTTGTTTTTGTGCACAACTAGTAACTCATTAGATGAGTATAAACCCAGTGGTACTGAGCACTACACTTCTTTCGATGAAGAATAGCCTCATGTTGTGAAAGGAAATTCAGACCAAGATAATAATGTCAATGGCGGCAGCGATAGTCCACCATGTTCCAAGAAAACTAAAAAAACACCTACCGAATTTGACTGAAAATTCTATGAAGAATTCAATCCAAAAAGTTTTGAGTTTGATGCCACAAATTCAGGTTTAACCGACAATACTGTATTGAATGAAACCTGCAACAAATTTGATTTTTTTGCCAACTTTTTTGATGAAGCCATAATGAGTTTGATCGTTAAAGAAACGAAGATTTACGTCAAGAAAACTGTGTAGAACTAGCAGAGATTCATCGTTTTTTTGGGTTATGCATTCTTGTTGAAAAACCAAGTCTAAAAGATTATTGGTCAAAAGATTATCTTATTTCAACACCATTTTTTTAGCAGCTTTTGCCAGAGACGGTTTCTATACATTCTGTATTCCCTTCATTTTTTCAGTTACGAAAAGCTAGAAGATGGGTCTTTTGAAAAAAATCAAGGCCGTGGTAGATCTAATAAAAGCAAAATTCAGTTCTAGTTTTCGTACATTCCAAGATCTGTGTATAGAGGAAAGCCTCATTTTATGGAAGGGCCGACTTTCTTTCAAACAATTTATTCCATCAAAAAGAAAAAGATTTGGAATTAAACTTTTTGATATTAGTGACGTAGAAACTGGTTATGTTTTGGGATTTATAATATATACTGGTTCTAGTACCGTCTTAGACCAGGATCAAGAAGGACTGGGTAAGTCTGCTCAGATTGTTGATACCCTTATGAAAGAATATTACAACAAAAAACATATTTTGTATGTACACAAGTCCAGAGTTATTTGAGTATTTACTAAAACATGAAACGGGAGGTTGTGGGACTGTAAAAGCTACCAGGAAAGGGATGCCACAATTTCGTAAACAAATAAAAAAGGGAGAAGTGGATACTACATGCACTGATAACTTGTTAGCCGTGAAATGGTTCGATAAAAAATTTGTCCATATGTTAACTTCAGTATCAACACCATACCTCAAGGACACTGGAAAAGTAAATCGTAAGACCGGTGATCGTGTTTTAAAGCCACAATGCGTTTTGGACTATAACCTTAAAATGGAAGCAGTTGACAAAATAGACATGCAGATTAGTTTTGTGGATTGCTGAAGAAAAAGTTTAAAATGGTATAAAAAACTGTTTTTCCATTTGTTGGACTTGTTTGTACAATGCTTACGTGTTGTTTCAAGTGATCAAGGGAGAGAAACCTTTTTTTTCGAATTTTCGGCGAATAATTGTACAGTACCCTACTTCTCTGAAGATAAGAACAACAGCCTGTGTTGATAATCTACTCCGAATCACCGAGAAACATTTTCCATGCCCCGTCCAGCAAACTGCAGCTCAAGGAAGTACTGTGTTCATATCGGTTTTGTTTATAATAGCGCAGTATATGTATGGCACCCGGCCAGTTAAAATTTCAAAGTTTAAAATTACTTATTGTACCCGTCTGAAGTCCCTGCATAGGTAGCAGTACCTGTACGGCACTCGGCCCTCAATGTACTCTTTTTAATGCGTACATGTACGGCACCCGTCCTGAATGGGACCTAATTGAAATTGAAAAGGAGTTAAATCATTTTACTGGGATTGAAATACTCAACATTAAAGACTTTAGTAAAGAAAAGTTATAATCATATTCTTCCATGTTAAGTATCACCGTAAATGATAAAAAAGGAAAACTATCATCTTACAGACGAATTCGTTGTGAGGGTATGTCAACAAGTCAAATAACAAAAAAATACACTTCCTCTATTACAAAAAAAACTGAGGCCCCGTCCCCTATCCAAAAAATTAAAGGACCATCCTAAAGAAATCTCAGATAGTGATAGTGACTCAGATAGTGACGACAGCTATTCTGAAAAATTAGAATTTGAAAATAAAAGTTTTTCGGATGAAGAATTAGATTTGGAAAAAGTAGAAATGTCAATATGCATTGAAAAATATTATGCAGCTCTTTATTGGGCGTATTTTGGAGATCATGGAAAATGATACTTAAAAAAAGTTTTTAAAAATGGAGTTGGGTACATATGGCCTAGTACAGAAGACATTCAAATTATAGAAGAAAAAAAATATTTTATATGGGCCGGTTTATGTTTACTCGGGTTGAGTGAAAAATGAATGTTTTTAAAATTAAAAATGAGGTAGTATACAAAACTGGTAGATAATTATATGAAAGACGAGGAATTAAACGCCTCTTTTAAAGGTGAGAAACAAACTCTTCACTTGGACAAGGATGGGTTTTTGTCGCCATCGGCAGCACCATCTCGTTTAAAGGACACTAACAGCAGTCCCAGCCCACCAGTGACGGAATCAAAAATTATTAGTGCTCAGGTATTTTAATTTTATGCAATAACAATAATAATTGTTAACTATTAATCATTAATTAATTATTAACCACTAAAGTAGTATCGGCAATATTGGAACAGAATCTCTTCTTTTAGCTCTTAGAATCTTACCTAAAAAAAAAATGGTGGGCAGCACATTTTTGATGAGTACAATGCAAATCAAATAATTTCGAATAGGACCAGAAGAGATCTCGTAAACCTTACAGTACGTATGATGACTGATAGGTTAGGTACCTCAATACCAAAATCCATCAAGGTTGAGTTTGCCAAAAGTATTGTGGAAAATTTTCCGAGTTTGAAAGATCCCAACACTACATAAGGGGGTTATGTAAGTATCTTGTAGGCGTCATTATTGATACGCATTCACTATCTCTCACACCCATCTCATTTCAAATAAAAAAATAATTATTGTCTTTATTTGAACAGGAAATTTTTTATGACGATTCCAAGCGCACACCTAGTGGGTACTTGGCATGGAGGCTACGTACAGTAGTACGCAACCAGTTGTCACCCCAAACTGATAAGGGGCTCAAGAGAAGAAGTGAATCTAATACTTCGGAAGAAGAGTCTGCTCCTAAAAAGAGAAATTGGTTAACAGAAGACGAGAAAGCGGCAATTAAGTTTTTAAAATATGCATGTCCTAAGACACAAAAAGATGAAATATGAAATATGAAACAGGTGAGCTCCATAGATACAGTGCTTTTCTTTATTGTCCCCATCTAAATAAATCTGAAACGCTTGAAATTGAAATGTGGAAAATCACAATAAGGTGTAAAATACTATCTGAAACTAAACTGAGTCCTAAGTTTCAAGATGGTGGCTGGGCGCTATTTTAAATTATTATTTTTATTTTTTTTTTAGATGGAATACCCTGTATATCTGTGCGCTAACTCGTATAAAAGTATACAGGGTGTTCCCTTTTAAACATGTTGTTGTCATTCTGACAATTTGCTTTTTCTATGATTTGCAGTTTGTTATGATTTTGTTATTTTGGCGTGTGTATTTTTTGTATTTAAACTTTAAAATTTTTGTTATGTATTTTAGCATGGACGACCACCGACGGCTAAAGGCAATACAAACTTCACATCAAGGGCTCCAGTTGGAAAATTATTTGAACGACTCCTGTATTTCTCTACAGTAAGTACTCTTTTGAACTTAAAAAGCCTTAACTTTTTTTATCAACTAATTTTGTCTGAAGAAAATTAATAGCTACTAACGCTACTAACCTAGGTGTATTGTTTGTCTCTAAAAAAATCTGGGTTTAATAAAATTAATTTCAGATACAATTTATCCTAAACTATTAAGAATAGGCAAGGCGATCAACCCTATCTGATTGGGATAGGATCAAGTAAAGAGGCAATCCATGATTATAAGGTTGCTATTGATGGGCGATTTTTAGACACTAACTCCTCCTGAATGGTAAAAGCATTTGATTTGTTGATAAAAACTCATTTTGTCTTTCAAACTAAATTCGACGAAGGCCTTGAGAATTTCTTCTACTTCATCCAACATTTCTTTTATAAAATCGATAATGTAAAACTAACTAAAATGCGAGAACTTCAAAATCGGCTTTTGAACTTCTCTGATGAAAAAGATGACACGAAAGCATAATAACTTAAAAAAAATGTTCGGATACACCTTGGTTTGTTTTGTTTAACTTGTTTCCATAATCGTTGGTAATTAAGGCTTTTAAATGCTTTATATGTTCTAAAATTTGTTTAAATGTATCTGAACTTATTAAACATATAAGAATGTGGCATTATTTAGTTAAGCAGCTAGATGGAGATGGAGATGTCCATTAATATTTAAAACGTTTTGTGGGTATAGAAAACATTTATTACCTTTAATACAACGTAATGTTTCAAATTGTGATGATGAGGTTTACAATGCTCATCATAGTTCCATTAATATCGAACCTGAAACCGAGCCTGAAACAACTTGCCATTCAGAGCAGGAACAGTGTAACATCTTTGATGATGAAGGTGATAGTTTCAACCCCATTTTAGACGACTTCTGTCCTGATCAATCTTCGGAGACCGTAAAGAACCAAGTTGTAGGACTTGTATCAAATCTTTTAGGTTTGGGTATTCCCATTTCTACCATTTCAATTATCACTGATAATATCGAAGAAATTGTAAATTCCATTTTTGATGAAATTAGGAAAATTATAGCAAAACATGTGAATGAGGAGTGGATTTTTTTTTCAACGAAGGTTCTTGCATCTTTTAAAGAGATTAGTTCGGTTTATAAAATAAAAAAACACTTTTCCAAAGACATGGTCAAAGCTAAAGAAATTTCAATAGGTGTGATCAAGTTTTTGATAGATCAAGAAATTCTTATGTACAAAAAAATTTAACAAATACATTCATGTATATTCCCATTCTAGACACACTCAAGGACTTTCTAAAAAATAAATCCGTTCAACCATTTTTTTCTAATATTCAAACATCAAATTTAAATAATAGTACGCTTTCAAATTTTTCGGATGGTAGAAACTACAAGAACTCAGAATTATTTCTGTCGTGTCCAAATGGTATTCAATTACAGCTCTATTATGATGAATTCGAATGCTCTGCTCCATTAGGAACAACAACAGGGTTACATAAAATGGGAGCTTTCTATTTGATTATTAGAAATATTCCTGCAAAATTCCTGGGGCAGTTGGAAAACATCTTTCTTGTTGCTTTATTTTATTTTGCAGACATAAAGGAAGTTTCATTCAATGTTGTTTTAAGACCAATAATTGAAGATATAAAAATTTTAGAACGTGATGGAATCGATGTAGACTTCTTGCCCTACAGGCTTAGGGGTACTTTAGTAGCTCTAAGCCATGACAACTTGGGTGGCAATGCATTGTATCGTATGGTCGAGTCGTTCTCGGCAAACTATTTCTGTCGAATATGCCTTACACATAAAACTGACATTTAGAATGTATTTTCAGAGACAAATGAACTTTGTAGATTAAGAAATGAAGAATTTTACAATACTATACCAGCAAACATACAACCTGGAACTAATTACTTCGGAATCAAGGAACCAAATCTTTTTAATGAATACTTTAATGTAAGTAATTTTTCAACTATGGATATCATGCACGACATATTAGAAGGGGTGGCATAATTCGAAATTAAACTTTTATTAACATATATAACTAAGGAAAAATGTATTACCCTGGAAGAAATAAACCGTAGAATATTTTTTTTTAATTATGGAAAAATTGACCGTTGTACCAAGCCCAGCCCTATAAATTTAGAAAAAGTTAGCCATAATATTGGTGAACGGGCAGCACAAACTTGAACTCTTATTAGGTATCTACCCTTGATAATCGATGATTTGTTAGTAAAACTGGATGAAAATAAGTGGAAAGTAATGGTATTACTCTTACAAATAATGTGCATATGTTTCGCTCCTAATATCCCTGTTGATACGACCTATGTTTTGGAAAAGCTTGTTCTTGAACATCACTCTTTAGTAAAAGAGCACTTTGGGCATATTTTACCAAAACATCACAATATGATTCATTATCCTTCTATTATAAGAAAAAATGGTCCATTGATACACCTATGGTGTATGAGATTTGAGGCGAAGCATGGCTATTTCAAGGACCTTGTAAACAAATTAATTTTTTTTTTAAATTTACCTCAAACTTTGTCTGAGCGTCATCAGATCTTTATGCAACATTCATGGACGAAAAAAACACTAGAATTATGCTTGGAGGTAGGACCTTCTTCTGTTATTTCAATAAAAGAATTATATCATTCAAGATTTGGATGTATCTGACGACTTGTATATCACTGAAGCAAAATTTATTAAATACGGATTTATGTATAAACCGTCATTTTTTATTTGCACTTCGGTTAAACAAAACAAACCATTGTTTGAAGAAATCCTATATATTTTATTGTTGGATAAAGTCCCCTTTGTTGTTGTTAAATCTTGGGAGACAGTGCTATTTCGTGAAAATATAAATTCATTTTGTGTTCGTCCTTCATTAGATATAAATATTTTTAACCTTCAAACGCTAGCATATCGCGAACCTTATGAAGTTAAACATGCTCAGGGTTCAACGCACTTTTATATAGTTCCTAAACATATTTTTGTTTAATTGTTGATTTCGTTTTGTTTCTTTCTGGAGTTTTGTTATGTTTTTTTTCTAGAGTAAGAGGCAAGTGTCACACAATGCTATTTTGCAAGTAAAGTTTATTTTTTATTTAGATAGTAAAAATTCAAAATTGTAGGTTAAAGGTTGGCAGAAAAATTAAAATATCGTAACGTGTTCCCGAGTTTAAATGAGATTTTTTGTCATAAATGTCAATTGTGATTTTGACGTTTTTCTATTTGAGCAAATACATGTTGAACATATACCACAACAAAATGAATCACAGTCACGGTTCACATTATGGCCATTTTATTGGCTGAGTTCGGCATTATGATCTCATGCATCTAAGTAAAAAAAACAGTAAAATATTCAAGAGAAATAAAGACATTTGATATTTATCAAAGTATTGTTGTAATTGTCATCTTTTTGATCCATACAAAAATTCGGAGCAAACAGATGACATTTGCTATAATGCCTGGCAAATAATAAATCACAGGTGTTTCGTCTCTTTTTGTCTAAAATATGTTACTATTGTTGTTCTTTTTTTATCTGGATGTAAGTAAAGGGTGCCCAAATTTGACCTTCCAATTTAAATTGACTAGTAATCTTCATTGACAGTTTTTCTGTAGTGACATATGTCAAATAAAAACTTTGCGGTTAGTAGTTTCTTGGTCAACATGGAGCAACTGTCCATCGAAGAACGCGTTTTTATTTTAAAAACTTATTACCAAAATGAAGAAAGTTTTGCTGAAACTGCAAGAAGATGTCGTACGCATTTCGGAAGAAATTTAGCACCTTCTGTTAAAGTTATTGAGAATTTTATTAAGAAATTTCAACAGACTGGGCCAGTAGAAGTTAACAGGAGTAGTGGTTACATTCGAGGTGTCCGATCAGAAGAAAACATTGCTGCGGTAAGGGCTAGTATTGGTGAAAGCCCGAAAATGTCAGTTCGAAAACGTTCACAGCAAGTCAACATTAAAAGATCAAGCCTGCATAACATTTTAAAGAAAGACCTTCATTTAAAAGCTTATAAGGTACAGTTGACTCAAGAGTTAAAACCAAACGATCATTTAGCACGTCGAATATTTGTTAATTGGGCCTTAGAAAAAAGGCAAGAAAATAACGATTTTTTCCAAAACATTATCTTTAGCGACGAAGCTCATTTCGAAATTGGTGGATTCGTAAACAAACAGAATTGCAGAATATTGAGCGAGGAAAATCCAAGAGTAATACTGGAAAAAGGACTGCATCCTGTAAAAGCGACTGTATGGTGTGGTTTTTGGTCAGGTGGCGTTATTGGTCCTTATTTTTTCCAGAATGAAGCTGGTAATGCAATTACTGTGAATGGAGCTCGATACAGGGCAATGATAAGAGACTATTTGTGGAACGAATTAGAAAATATGGATGTCCAGAACATGTGGTTCCAGCAAGATGGTGCCACTTGCCATACATCGGATGAAACATTGAATCTTTTGAGGGAGAGATTTGGCAATAGAATAATTTCTTGAAGAGCTGAATTTAATTGGCCGCCTAGGTCGTGAGACCTCACACTTTTAGATTATTTCTTGTGGGGCTTTTTGAAGGAAAGAGTTTATGCTAACAATCCTCAAACACCTGAACAGCTTCGAGTTAACATTATTCAACAAATTTTAGAAATTGAACAGAATATCTGCGAAAAGGTTATCGAACATTTTGGAAAAAGAATGTTAGCATGCCAAAGAAGTAGAGGGGGTCACTTGCCGGATATCATTTTTCATTATTAACCGCAACATTTAAACTTAAAAATAAAATCATAAAATAATAATATATCAATAGTTTTTTGTTTTTATTATTAAATTAAATCGGAAGGTCAAATTTGGACACCCTTTATATTAGAGCACAATTCTGAACTCAGTTTTTAAAGAATGTACTGCCACCCTTTAGCCTAACATTTTGAATTGTCACTGTATTTGATTGTTAACAAAGCCTTTTAAATTCCTGGTGCCTAATTTACATTGTGTTACGTTAGTTTCTCACTAAAATTGTATGAAACACTAGAATAAAGTTTGTTTTACTCATCGTCCATTCCAAGCCCATGGACGGGACACATCAGAAACATGTCTAAATATATGCTTGTTACTTCTAAGTTTACTTATTTTTTCTACGAGTATTTATGAGAAGTATTAGCCAAATTTGTCTAATACTTCTCATAAATACTCGTAGAAAAAATAAGTAAACTTAAGGAATTAACAAGCATATATTTAGACATGTTTCTGATGTATCCCGTCCATGGGCTTGGAATGGACGTCATAATATTACCTTAGTTTATTTAAAACGTAACATGTTACTTTAATATTTAAGAGTACATGTTAGATAAGATTGAAATGTATTACCGACTCGCATAAATACAGGGTCTTTTAAATATGATAAATCAAAACTGTTATTAGATTAGATATATATATATATATATATATATTTATTATTTTTATTATTTTGTTAATAAAGTGATAATATTTTTAAATATTTGGCATAATTTCTAGAAGCCCATCCCCAATATTGAAATTTTTTAAAATTTACACTGTATCGAGTGTAATTATACACTCTAATAAATAAAAATCACACCCAGATTTGTATAATTTACTCTCTTAAAAAGTGAGTTCTACACTCCAATAAATAAGTTTCACACTTAATACTGTATTTATTACTTTTCCGCAAGTGTACTTTTACACTCTAATAATTCGATCATACACTCATGGTTTCTAATTTACCAATTTAAAAGGTTTTCTTCTGCACTCTATTGAGTCTATTTTACACTGAATTTGCTGGATCCATATGCACCACTCATGAGTAAAAAATTGAGTGTAAAATTTTACACTCAATTTTTTACTGTGTGTCGTACCTAGGCTGGTTATGGCCTTAAGTACTTCACCAAGGTTCCTCTCCGCTTGACTCTTCAGATATAGAGGAATACCTACCTCGGGTTGCTTTTATTCAGTGGAGAAAGTAGGGTTTATAAGAATCAGTTAGGGTTGGTGGTTTAATTTAAAATGCAAAAGTAAACTTAAACTGGTTTATTTACCAAGGTAAAAGTATGTACAAAATTATATTAGAATTATATACAGTATTTACAAAAGTATCGTAGACTTTGCACACAAAGTTTCTTGCATAGCCTTTAATCAGGACAGGCAAATGTTCCAGGGCTTTTCACAGGCAACTGGCAGGCACGGGCGTAGTTTTCAGTCCTACAGAGAGACAGGGCAGATTTGCAATTGGACTCT